GGAACGTGGCCTGACCTGACCTGACCTGGTGCTTCTGGGATTATCTTAGTGTGCCTCGGAATGATTCCATGTCAGAAAGGGGGATGAGAATGTGGCCTAGAGGATGGAGCACTGGAGTAAGACTCTAGCTCTGCCACTGACCTACTGGGTGACCTTGGGCAAGTCACGTCACGGCTCCGTGCCTCAGTTTCCCCATCTGTAAAATGAAGATCGTGACACCGACCTCCTTTGTAAAGTGTTCTGAGATCTACCGATGGAAAAACACCATATAGGAGATGGATGTTACTGTTACGTATTGGGCGGGCTAGTTTTGGAGGGTAATGGCATTGGTGGAGCATTGATGTTCCGATGGGGGGTGAAGCTGCCCCCAAAGTATCATGCAGACAGGTTTGGATGCAACTTCGGCATGTGACGGCATCTTAGTGCAGTGGAGTTGAGCCCGTTTGGCACGTGGCAATATTAGGGGGCAATGAACAAGATTGCCCTGTTGGGACAAATTCCCAGTTTTAATAAGCAACTTTAATGGAAACAGTGGGCTTCCAGTCCTCCCAGGAGACTGTGAAAATTGCACCAGCTTTAATTTCTGCCTCTGGTTACGAACACAGTGCTAAACTTCCTACTGCTAAGTATCCTAACTGACGAATCTACCGGGGGATGCAGCTGGTAGCCTTGACCTTGTTAGACGCATAACTGCGGCAGCATGACGTGTGTGGGTAGTTTTTAAATCTGTTTCCCTTTATTTCTCCACAAATGTCAAGGGACTCTTATTCTTGCGTTTATTAAAACCGATGCATAGACTGAGCAGTTATAATACTAGCCCGTTTTATCTGCAGATCCCTAAACACACTACAAACGTGACCTGGTTAGCTCCTCACAGACCCTTACCAATATTAGTGATAACTCTCTTATAATGTTGATACTGTAATATGGTGACTAAAGGCTCTGGGAAAATTTCCCACGTCTACAGGTGTCCGTTTCAGCGCCGGGGATGGATCTAGGTTGCTTCCATGCTTAGCTATGCCTAATGCACCTTATTCCTGACTTAGCTCACCCCAGTTGTTTGGGGCCTGCGCACTTAACTTGAAATCGGAGGATTTATTTTTTTAAAGGCAATTAAGAGCTGTTTCCGATTTTTACACCCGTTCCTGAGTTCCGCGGCCAACTTGTATGGTATAACAATCCCTTTTAATTCCCGATTTCTCTCCCCTGTTATGCTGTGACCGGGCGGGGCTGGAACAATTTGTATAGTGGGGGCGCTGAGAGCCATTGAACCAAATTGTATATAATAGAAACCACTGCAAGCCAGGGGGGTGCGGCTGCACCTCTAGTTCACACACACACACACACACACACACACACACACACACACACACACACACACACACACACACACACACACACACACACACACACACACGACTAGTTATACTACCACCTACTACGTCCGCACACACACACACACA